AAATGAAAGGGGGTAAGGCAGCCGGGATTGATGGGATAAAGATAGAAATGTTAAAAGCAGGTGGGGATATAGTTTTGGAGTGGTTGGTGCAATTATTTAATAAATGTATGGAAGAGGGTAAGGTACCTAGGGATTGGCAAAGAGCATGCATGTTCCTTTGTATAAAGGCAAAGGGGAAAAAAGAGAGTGCAAAAATTATAGGGGGATAAGTCTGTTGAGTATACCTTGTAAAGTGTATGGTAGAGTTATTATTGAAAGAATTAAGAGTAAGACGGAGAATAGGATAGCAGATGAACAAGGAGGCTTTAGAAAGGTAGGGGGTGTGTGGACCAGGTGTTTACAGTGAAACATATAAGTGAACAGTATTTAGATAAGGCTAAAGAGGTCTTTGTGGCATTTATGGATTTGGAAAAGGCGTATGACAGGGTGGATAGGGGGGCAATGTGGCAGATGTTGCAGGTGTTTTGGTGTAGGAGGTAGGTTACTGAAAGCAGTGAAGAGTTTTTACGAGGCAGTGAGGCTCAAGTTAGAGTATGTAGGAAAGAGGGAAATTATTTCCCAGTAAAAGTAGGCCTTAGACAAGGATGTGTGATGTCACCGTGGTTGTTTAATATATTTATAGATGGGGTTGTAAGAGAAGTAAATGCGAGGGTCTTGGCAAAAGGCGTGGAGTTAAAAGATAAAGAATCACACATAAAGTGGGAGTTGTCACAGTTGCTCTTTGCTGATGACACTGTGCTCTTGGGAGATTCTGAAGAGAAGTTGCAGAGATTGGTGGATGAATTTGGTAGGGTGTGCAAAAGAAGAAAATTAAAAGTGAATACAGGGAAAGAGCAAGGTTATGAGGATAAAAAAATTAGGTGATGAAACATTGGATATCAGATTGGAGGGAGAGAGTATGGAGGAGGTGAATGTATTCTGATATTTGAGAGTGGACGTGTCAGCGGATGGGTCTATGAAAGATGAGGTGAATCATAGAATTGATGAGGGGAAAAGGGTGAGTGGTGCACTTAGGAGTCTGTGGAGACAAAGAACTTTGTCCTTGGAGGCAAAAGAGGGGATGTATGAGAGTATAGTTTTACCAACCTCTTATATGGGTGTGAAGCATGGGTGATGAATGTTGCAGCGAGGAGAAGGCTGGAGGCAGTGGAGATGTCATGTCTGAGGGCAATGTGTGGTGTGAATATAATGCAGAGAATTCGTAGTTTGGAAGTTAGGAGGAGGTGCGGGATTACCAAAACTGTTGTCCAGAGGGCTGAGGAAAGGGGGTTGTTGAGGTGGTTCGGACATGTAGAGAGAATGGAGCGAAACAGAGTGACTTCAAGAGTGTATCAGTCTGTAGTGGAAGGAAGGCGGGGTAGGGGTCGGCCTAGGAAAGGTTGGAGGGAGGGGGTAAAGGAGGTTTTGTGTGCGAGGGGCTTGGACTTCCAGCAGGCATGCGTGAGCGTGTTTGATAGGAGTGAATGGAGATAAATGGTTTTTAATATTTGACGTGCTGTTGGAGTGTGAGCAAAGTAACATTTATGAAGGGGTTCAGGGAAACCGGCAGGCCGGACTTCCTTAACTTGTAAATCTCACTCCAAAACTTTTTCTTATTTTCAACAAAATTTGTTGATAACATCTCACCCACTCTCTCATTTGCTCTCTTTTTACATTGCTTCACCACTCTCTTAACCTCTCTCTTTTTCTCCATATACTCTTCCCTCCTTGCATCACTTCTACTTTGTAAAAACTTCTCATATGCTAACTTTTTCTCCCTTACTGCTCTCTTTACATCATCATTCCACCAATCGCTCCTCTTCCTTGTTTGCAATCCTAATGGCGCTAAAGCTAACCTATGACACTGAGCTTGACTCTATCATCATTACTGACTCTGTCACCATTGAAGGCTCTTGACTCATATAATGATTGCAACAACATGCTCAATGGAGAAGCCAGGTATAGATACTCAAAAATTAGGGACAAATGAATTAATGTACAATTGCTATGGATCCCATCACACATTGGATTACTCCTTCATGATAAAGTTGATATGTTAGCCAAGAAGAGTACCTAGAAGGAGAATGTAGAATATAACTTTGGTATAACTGTGTCTAGCATTAGGAATAATATTAGGAGAGAAATAATGAAAATGATTGTTATAGGAATGCAGTTAGAAGCCTGAGTAGATCTATAACCCACTATGATAACATGAACGTAGATAAGTATGTTTATGGAGCAACTTGCAATGTGAACAGACTGACTGATGTTGTAGTGGCCAGGCTTAGGCTTGGTTACAAGTACTTCTGGCAGTTTGGGAGACACACAGATGATCAAACTAAATGTAAATTATGTGATCAGGCATATTGTCACTGTCTTGAACACTGTGCTTAATTGTCCACTTACTGAGGAATACAGAGACAGACAGTATAATAACCTATGTGACATGTCAAGATATCTTATTAATGAAAATAAGATACCAGATATACTAAGCAAATTTCCTAAATTTGCTTGCAACAGATAAGTGAACTATAGATAGGTAGATATAAATCCATATGTATTCCTGTTAACCCTTTGGGGCCTAGTTCCTAGGCCTTTTGTGTATCCATATGCTCTCGCGCTACCGTCCACAGGATGGATATGGGGTGCACAATAAACTAGCCACTTCGGTGGCAAAATCTAAATCTAAAATCCTAACTGCCTCCTCTTTTAGTTTATAAACCTTCACCTCTCTCTTCACTGATGCTTCTATTCTCCTTGTATCCCATCTACCTTTTACTCTCAGTGTAGCTACAACTAGAAAGTGATCTGATATATCTGTGGCCCCTCTATAAACATGTACATCCTCAAGTCTACTCAACAGTCTTTTATCTACCAATACATAATCCAACAAACTGTCATTTCGCCCTACATCATATCTTGTATACTTATTTATCCTCTTTTTCTTAAAATATGTATTACCTATAAACCCCTTTCTATACAAAGTTCAATCAAAGGGCTCCCATTATCATTTACACCTGGCACCCCAAACTTACCTACCACACCCTCTCTAAAAGTTTCTCCTACTTTAGCATTCAGATCCCCTACCACAATGACTCTCTCACTTGGTTCAAAGGCTCCTATACATTCACTTAACATCTCTCAAAATCTCTCTCTCTCCTCTACATTCCTCTCTTTTCCAGGTGCATACACGCTTATTATGACCCACTTTTCACATCCAACCTTTACTTTAATCCACATAATTCTTGAATTTACACATTCATATTCTCTTTTTCTCCTTCCATAACTGATCCTTCAACGTTACTGCTACCCCTTCCTTTGCTCTAACTCTCTCAGATACTCCAGATTTAATCCCATTTATTTCCCCCCACCGAAACTCCCTAACCCCTTCAGCTTTGTTTCGCTTAGGGCCAGGACATCCAACTTCTTTTCATTCATAACATCAGCAATCATCTGTTTCTTGTCATCCGCACTACATCCACGCACATTCAAGCATCCCAGTTTTATAAAGTTTTTCTTCTTCTCTTTTTTAGTAAATGTCTACAGGAGAAGGGGTTACTAGCCCATTGCTCCCGGCATTTTAGTCGCCTCATACGACACGCATGGGTTAAGGAGGAAAGATTCTTTTCCACTTCCCCATGGACAATAGAAGAAATAAAGAAGAACAAGAGCTATTTAGAAAAAGTAGAAAAACCTAGATGTATGTTTATATATATGCATGTGCGTGTCTGTGAAGTGTGACACAAGTGTAAGTAGGAGTAGCAAGATATCCCTGTTATCTAGCGTGTTTATGAGACAGAAATAATATATCCCCTAATATATCCCTCCAATATATCCCTCAAATATATCCCCTAATATATCCCCTAATATATTCCCTAATATATCCCCTAATATATCCCCTAATATATACCCTCTTCTAATATACATCTAATATATCCCTCCTCTAAGACACTTGCCTTTATCAATATTATCATGCGGTTGAAAGTCAGTGCTAGATGGATTCCCCAGAATGAAGTCAATAAGGTGTTCGGTTGTAGAATTCGCCGGTATAATCGCCCGGCCCGGGCCTTTCCCAAGAGGTGTCCCCGGCCCGGGCCTTTCCCAAGAGGTGTCCCCGGCCCGGGCCTTTCCCAAGAGGTGTCCCCGGCCCGGGCCTTTCAAAAGAGGTGTCCCCGGCCCGGGCCTTTCCCAAGAGGTGTCCCCGGCCCGGGACTTTCCCAAGAGGTGTCCCGGCCCGGGCCACCTCTTGGAAAATGTCTGCCATTGGAGGAAGTACAAGTGTCTCCTCGTCTTCTGGGACCAGCTGTCACCAAGCCTAGCCCCATTCCCCGCCCCCACGGGGCTCGGTGGGTGTGGCAGCTGCATAGCAGCGAACAATGTCAGGAAATGCAGAGTCAGCAAGCACTACAGGATCCTTTTGGAGTCTCACCTTTGGACATTAAGCCCGAGTGCTGGGGAAGCCTAGGAGTGCCTCTTAAGAACATAAAGAAGGGACACTGCAACAGGCCTACTGGCCCATGCGAGGCAGGTCCAATTCTCCCACCGGCTTAAGCTCACTGACTTAGTGACCTTAAGCTCACTGACCGTCTGATCTCACTAACCTAGTCAGGTCAGACACGTCACTTAAGGGAGGAACACAGCTTCCGACCTAGTAGCACAAGCTAGTTAGGTCCAACTCACACCCACCCTTGCTGTGTATGTTACTGCTGCTACTACTACACTTGTCCGTTGCACACACTGTAGCCATTAAGAGTCATACGACGTGTCTTGAGTGATGATCATGGAGGTACACGTATGATAACACAAAGATTGAGGAAAAAAGTTACTTTACCAATCATCTTAGTCCCGAAACGTCTCTGACACTGTCTTTATTGCCGGGAAATAGTCAAGCTTGATCCAAGGAAAGGGAAGGAGGGGATGGCTCCAATTCCCTGAATCAAGAGCCCCTTGCCAGCACCAAGGGCGACAAGAATAGTGAAATTTGTCCCGTCCAGGACTGTCAAAAGTACGACAACTGCTACCTTGTGCACTGTGGCGCTGTGAACTATGTGAAGGTTAGGCCGCGACGCTGCCGGACGTAGGAAGTTTTCTGCTGTGGACCCTCTGATGCCATTAAAAACTGTATAATCCGCCGGTGCAAAACCTGAAATTGATGCATGAAAAGAAATTTCGCAATTTTGCCACTCGACAAACCACGTAGTCATATATATATATATATATATATATATATATATATATATATATATATATATATATATATATTTTATTTATTTATTAATTATTATTATTGCTGGAGTAGCACTAAGCCCACAGGGGTCATGGAGGACACTCAAATTTAATCGGAGGAAAGGGAGAGTGGCTCTAATTTCATGGATCAAGAGCCCTTTAGCAGCATCAAGTCACGTCATTCCCCCCACAAGGAGGAGGGATGCTGGTAAGGTGGCTCTTGATCCAAGGAATTAGACTTGTGCTCCCCTTCCTTGGATTGAAGCTCATTGCCTCCCAGTCCCTCGCGTGCTGTGTGACCCTCTACGGTTTATCGCTCTCCCTAAATATAATTAGGATATACAAATTATAATAATGAAAATATGAAATACAAAATAATGAAATTATAAATATAAATAATAATAATAATAATAATAATAATTAACAATGATTAAAAATATTGCAGGTCTCAGGTACCTTCCTCTTACACCACAAGGTCAGCCTTCTAAGTCGACCTAACCGTCTTGACCTTCATTTCTGTAGTCAGCCGTTTACCTTGACCAGTGGCTCAAACTCCTCCTCCCTCCCCCCCCTCCCCTCCCCCCCCCCCCCCCCCCCCCCCACCACCACACACGCTCTCATCAGACTTATAGTGACTTTTGTCTTATCTATAATATTGAAAACTTCTGTAAAGCATTTATATATATGGTAATATGTCCTCTATATTCGTTAATTATATATGACAAAGTTGCTAGAATCTAAAATTTAGACACCTTTTTTTTTCTAAGTTATTGCTAATTCATGTGTATATTAATTATAAAGTAAGTGTTGGAATTTTCAAAAGAAAATTGTTTGGTGTATGTCAAAAATCAGTTGATATTTTAACACCTGTTGGTAACGATTTATAAAAATGCTTAATCTGATTTGTTATTCAGCTGACTAATTCACCGTGTAGGTGAATGTTTACGTAGTTATTGGCTGGGAATTCTGAGCACCTTTATATTACCCCAAGCTGACTGATGAGACACATGGGCAACACCTAGTTGTCTTTATTGGAGAGACGTGTCTCCAGTCACGGCTTTATAAATCTCGTTCTCTATAAAGACCCTGGTAGTCGACTCTCCTCTCAGTAAGGGTATTCAGGTATTGCATGTGTGTGTCTCATTCATCATGAAGCGAAAGTACTGAGTTAAGGACGCAATTGTTTGCACCTGAGGACATTTCTAATGGATAAAAAAAAAAGGCACAATATCGTGACTGGAACAATACACAAATAACCCATCCTGCTCTCCTTTTCGTTAGTGTGAATTTGTAAATGGTTCAAGTCCGACCGAAACGTTGTCGTAAGCTCCTCTCTTCTATGTGCGGGTTATTTGTGTATTTCTAATGGATCCCTATCGGTCCTAGAACCTCGGTCCTGCAGTGTATGCACTGTGTGACTGTTAATCAGTGTCGTGGGTCTCATTATTCCTTCTGCCAGTCAGGCCATTATATTTTACCAATTTGCTCATGCCCATTGGGATCGATGATTTTGTAGCCAAGTTCTTGGCCAGCTTGCAGGAAAGCCTTGGTCATCCTTGACAGCTTCCTTGTCGGAGTCACAGCCATGGGTCCTTCTCGGCCGTGGTACAGTTCTGGAATTCATACAAAAATATTAAAAAATTTGCAAAATTGTTTAAGCACATTTATAAGAGGGACATATGTGGAATTATGAGAGACAGACACACAGTCAGATAGAGACAGACAGGGAGAGGCAGACATACAGAAAATGACCTTAAAAATAACACACACACACACACACACACACACACACACACACACACACACTATCAACAGGAGTCTTTGACATGCGGTTACTAACACTGATTGAAATCTCACCACTGTAGCCCTTCTCCTCTCCCTGATAGTTTTCAGACTTCCTGAAGTAGGGTAAGACTGAAAGGTAGTCCCAGCCAGGGTTCCCTAGGACTGCCCACTGGTCATAGTCGTTCCTGCTGCCTCGCATGTACAGTAGACCCCCCACTGATGACGACCCTCCCAGCATTCGACCTTGCAGCAACCTCTCACTCTGATGGTACATTTATTATTTTAACTATTAGAAGGTGCTAATATCTGCTGTTATTCATATTTATCTCTGTGGCAGTAAAATTAATGTGCATTTTAACTCGGGTTAGTCAAATAGATCTGGTAGTAAATATTGATGCTTACTACAAGAGTTGACAAGCAGTAATGTAGAGGATACATTCATCAATTTTTCATTTTTGTAACGTATCTAGTAAAACTGTGTATGAATCAGTTATATTCCCCGATTTGTAAATCAGAGTAACCAACTTGGGATAATGACACTAGCTGGTGTACATGTAAGCAAGAAAAAATATGTTTTAAGGTTTTTGTTCTAGGATAACTTAATGGTGGCACTAATAATAACCCAAGTGCCTAGATGCAGCTAGGTGAACAGGGACACCAGTTGTAAGAAGACTTGCCCGTAAGTCTAGTCTTGCCAATGATGCTACCCGCAACAGCAGGCGAGAACCCATGTACCTGGGCATGTAAAAGTCAGGTGGATGGGTCAGCTATTTTTATTAGAAGACATTTTACACAGATTAGGTTATAAGTCTTGTTAAGGACAACAAGTATTTATACAGTATTTATCAAGTCCTATATACTTAAAGGCATGAATATTGTCTGATACAAAAGACTGGGTCTGTTAAGTGTGTCGTCGACTCGTTCTTCACTACACCCAGGTACCTAACTAGTCCTAGGTGACCTGTCTATACTTCTCGCGTTATCCCAGTACCTAACTAATAGTAAACTTTGATATCTGTACTTACCCTCCCTACGTAGCTCTTGTGCGAGTGTTTCTGCGGAGTGATGTAGTAAGGCCAAGTGTAGCTACCGGGGAGGTAGAAAGTGAGGGAAAAGGCAGGAACGTGGCTCTCAGGTGGAGGAGGACCTCCAGCCTCAAGCAGTAGCACTTTCCACTGTCTCACCTCTGACAGACGAGATGCCACAACGCTGCCTGCTGTCCCTCCGCCCACTGTACCACACAAGGCAAACTATTAACTCATATTAAAGTGTGGCTGAAATATAATTAAAGTTATTTATAAAACCTTAGTAAAATAATGAGTAATAAAGCACTAGTTACTTAAACTTTCAAAACATGTTCTGTAAAAAGGAAGCTGACGTTGAAGAACCAGAGTATACACACACACACACAACACACACACACACACACACACACACACACACACACACACACACACACACACACACACACACACACACACACGTACATACTGAATATACATATGGTGAGGCTAAGGTCCATGACAAACTACACTTAGTCCAACTATGTAGTGTAGATGTTAATACATCATAGATGCATTGTAAATGTACTGTAGATGTATTGTAGATGCGTTTTAGATGCTTGGAGTACGCAAAGATCAGAAAGTCTCTCAAGCCACAGCAATCCCCTTCCCACTCAAACACAATAACTCAAAACAAACTGTATCCTTCCCCTTTAGACCCTCATTCTTAACTCCTAGTAGTGTTGGACTCTCACAACCTCCCTCGTCTTAAGGCACAACCCCAACTTTCACTCTGCTCCCCACCCAACCTCATTCCCTTTCACATGAACCATTCCCACAACTAGCTCTCATTCTTACATTCGCTACACCCACACCCTCCCATTTCCCCACCTCCTCTATTCCCTCGCCTATTCCCAAGTTATGTGAGCAAATGTTAGAGGAACAGGAACTTGAAACCCAGAGCACGATAACAGAATGGGAACAAAATGTGATACGAATGCAGATGTAATAACAAGAGTGATGAATGGAAAGAGCAAATAATAGAGGTATTTCTAGATATCATAGCACTAACGGAGACAAAACTCTCGCAGGTGACAAATGCGACCTTTCCAGCAGGATATGAAATAATTAAAAGGGACTGATTAAACAAAAGTGGAATACATGATAATCAGCCTGGTTGACCAGACCCTGATCCACCACGAGGCGTGGTCTCAGACCGGGCCGCGGGGGCCTTGACCCCCGAAACCCCCTTCAGGTATACGAGATAAGAGGGGACAGACGAGACGAATACGGTACATATAGGATGGGTATGGGGTGCACAATAAAGATACTAAATTAACTACGGTACATAGTGAGGAGACTCAGAACTGGGGGACCCAAGGTTATGTACAACCCACCATTAAACAGCAGGAGACCAAGACAGGAATAAGATGATAAGAGTGATGGTAAACACGATAACAAAAGTGACCAGAAAAGCCCCCACAGACAATGCAAAACTAGTGACCATGGGAGACATCAACCATAAGGAAATAGACTGGGAATGTCTGAAGCCGCATGGAAGACCAGAAACGTGGGGCGCCAAGTTACTGGAGGTGGCGATGGAAAGCTTCATGTGTCAGAATGTCATGGACAGAGAGAGAAAGAGAGAGAGAGAGAGGGTGAGGAAAGGAGGAGAGAGACACACTTACGCAGTACGAACTTTAACTCAGCACTCTGTCTCTTCCTAGAGAACTACAACAAAACAGACACAATACAGAAGAGAAGTACCTCTTTGTATATAGCCATTCAACATAGCTGAATGGTTATACACATTCAGCTATGTTAAATGGTTATACACATTCCTCTGTTAAATGGTTATACACATTCATCTATGTTAAATGGTATGCACATTCCTCTGTTAAATGGTCATTCACTGTCCTGTAATAAACGTCTCTCGATCACTTCTAAATATATGGTTTAAATATATAACAGAAAATATGATATATTGTAACATAGAAAAGTTTAATTTTTGTATTTTATTATATATTGTTATTAAATTTCTGACCTGCCACGTCTTGGACTCAACTTATTTAAGAATTCCGAGAGAATAAAAAGTAGAAATATGCAGAAAACTTCCCTATCCGCCACCTGCTTAAAAAAAAAATTAAAAATCTCCTTCATTTGCCCTAAATTTTACATAGTCTATGCTAAAATCTAATTTATTATTACTACCTATCCGAATCATATTAACATTCATAATGTTTATTATCATCATTTTCATTTTAACATAAGGACAATCACTTCAAACTTTTATAATAATTTGTCTTACAAAAAAAATTAGAAATGCCACAGTAATCATAATCCAAATTGTTAATGACAGATTATTATTATTATAATCAAAAGGAAGCGCTAAGCCACAAGGGCTGTTTAATGACAGAGAATGTAAACTTTAGCATTCAAGTCGAAAATTTAATCTTATGAATGTCTGTAGTTATAAGATAATTTTAAGTATGGAGAAAATGCTCAGGATAACCAGGGGCTTTCTGTCAAGTTAACAGAAAATGTCAGTGATATATCGTAAGGGGAATTACCAATAGACCCCTGGCTGCCTTCAAGAGGGAGCTGGACAGATACATGAAGTCGGTACCTGACGCCTCGGGCTGTGGTTCTCACTTTGTATTATGTGAGGCCAATAGTAACAGCCTGGTTGATCAGACCCTGATCCACCGAGAGGCCTGGTCAAGGACTGAGTTGCGGGGGTGTTGACCCATGGAACACCCTCCAGGTGGGTAGGCTTGATCCTCCTATTAATCTCCAGACAGACCTGCTGTCTTCTTTCTCCCACTCCGGCGTGACGTTGCACATTCCCGGGATTATTATACATAGTAACTCAACCAGCCGTCATTTGGTAATTTATGATGCGGTGTAGGAGAGACCGTTATTACTGCTTTTACGTGTTATCCAGGTGTAGACATCTCGTGGGTAAGAGACAGATACACCGTCTTAGAATAATGCTACCCATCTCTTGCACCATTCCCCAACCTTACCTCCTTGACTCAAGTAATCATAACATGATTGCAATGAATCCTCGCCTCATATCTCACCTTTCACCTCACCTCTTACGTCACCCCTGAACCTTTCCCATTACCCTATGACCTCTCCTGCAACCCTTAAGGAGGAAGGTAGCCTGAGGCAAATGATGAACGCTATGTTGGCATCATCCATCCGTCTTCCCCAGGTATGTCTTGCTGCATCTCCCTCATGAAATACTTTAGACCACTGCAGCAGTGGTGTTTTGGTGTCGGTGAGGTCTGTTGAGATCTTCATGATTTTACAACTACCTGTCCTCTGGGAAGAACGAGACTACGGTCGACGCTGGGCACTCCCTAGGAGTATATAGGAAATACAGAGAGAGGATTTGGAGCTCCACATCGAGGCTGTCTGCCGAGAACTATCTACATCTACCAGTATTAAGGACTATCGTGTATTATCTAGGTATAGGCGTCAAAGTTAAAAAGACAGAAAGCTCTCTCTCCATCCTCTAGTACTTTTGGTCATGCAGGAGGGATACCATACATACCTGGAGAAGGTTTCGGGGGTCAACCGCCCTCGCGGCCAGGTTCGTGACCCGGCCTCCTGGTGGGAGACCGGGTCACGGCCTCCCACCAGGAGGCTGTTACTGCTGGCCGCAAGTAAACCGACTTACGAACCACAGCCCAACTGGCCAGGTACTGACTTTAGAGGCCTGTGCAGCTCCCTCTTGAAGACAGCTAGTAAGATAAGATAAGATAAGATTTCGTTCGGATTTTTAACCCCGGAGGGTTAGCCACCCAGGATAACCCAAGAAAGTCAGTGCGTCATCGAGGACTGTCTAACTTATTTCCATTGGGGTCCTTAATCTTGTCCCCCAGGATGCGACCCACACCAGTCGACTAACACCCAGGTACCTATTTGCTGCTAGGTGAACAGGACAACAGGTGTAAGGAAACGTGTCGAATGTTTCCACCCGCCGGGAATCGAACCCGGGCCCTCCGTGTGTGAAGCGGGAGCTATAGCCACCAGGCCACCGGGCAATCCTCTTTTTGTATGCTGCAAAGCAGTTGAACAGTCTTGAACTTCTAACACTTAGTGTTCTCTCTTAGCGTACTCGTGGCGCCCCTGCTTTTCATGGGGGGGGGGGTAACTTGCTTCTCCTGCTTTCGTATGGAGTGATTTTCAAGTGCAGATTTGGGACCAGTCCCTCTAGGACTTTCCAAGCGTATTGTATCATGCATCTTTCTCGCCTGCATTCCAGGGAGTACAAGTCGAGGGACTTCAATTGCCCTTAGTAATTTAGGTGTTTCATTGTACATATACGTTCCGTGAAAGTTCTATGTATAATTTCCAGGTCTGCAATTTCGCCTGCCTTGAAAGGGGCCATTAGTGTACAGCAATATTCCAGCCTAGAGAGAACAAGCGATTTGAAGAGCATCATCAGTGGCTTGGCATCCCTAGTTTTGAAGGTTCTCAATATTCATTCTATCATTTTCCTAGCAGATGTGATAGATACATTGCTTTCTTTGAAAGTGAGATCCTCTGACATTATCACTCCCAGGTCCTTCACATTAATTTTTCGCTCTATTGAGTGGTTGGAATTTGTTTTGTCCTCTGATACAGTTTTAATTTCATCGAGTTTTCCATAGTGGAGAAATTAAAATTTGTCTTCGTTGAGCTTCACATTGTTTTCTGCAGCCTATTTAAAAATTTGGTTCATGTCCGTTTGGAGACTTGCAATGTCTTCGACAGAAGATGCTCATGCAAACTCGGGTGTCATCCGCAAAGGAAGATACGGTGCTGTGGTTTACATCTCTGTCTGTGTCAGATATGAGGAACAGGATGGGAGCGAGTACTCAGTACTGTACCTTGTACCTTTTCACTGTAGCCGCCTCTGATTTTACTCTGTTTACTATTACGCATTTTGTATATTATTACACTATGCTTTCGCAAAGTTTGTGTATGCTACTTCTGTATTTTGTTTGTCCTCCAGAGCATCCAAGACCATGTCATAGTTGGGATAGGCAGGAGCAACCTGCTCTAAACCCATGCTGCCTTGAGTTGTGCAACTGATGGGCATCTAATTGGGTGGCGATCTTGTTTCTTAGAAGCCTTTCAAAAACTTTTATGATGTGGGACGTAAGTGCTATCGGTCTATAATTCTTTGCAATTGCTTTAGTTCCTTCTTTGAGGAGTCAGGCTATGTCTCTTGTTTTTA